CAATACAGTGGAATGACTGGGAGCTGCAGTTGGAACAATATGTAAAAATACAGCTTGTAAAAGATTTCCTTTATTAACTGTCATCATCCACAGAATATATGTTCAAATAAACGTTGTGTAATAACTAAATTTGAGATTAATAGGCCCCTTAAGAAACAGGGAAGTCATTCAGGATAGTCAGTGAAAAATAGCCTGTAAGACTGTAACATGCACATATTGTCCTGCTTACATGCTCTCTCTGGTGTCATTCCCATTTATCAATGTCGGCAGGCTCTATTCTCATTAAAACACTCTTGCACAAAAGCAACTTAATTTTCTTAAGAGAAGAGGACACCTGATTCAATTTAGTGCTTGAAAGCAGGAACTTGAATATATATTTTTTTTCCTGTCTGAACTCAGATGAATAGTTATGAACAGCAACACAGATTAAACCTTATTAGGTATATTTATATTCCGTTTGCAGTAACGGTGCTGTGGCAAATAGCTTTCTACAGAGATGTAACATCTTGTTATTGGAAACAGCAGTTAAGACATGAGCTGTGCTAACATTCACATGAGATTTTATTTTTAAATAGGAGATTGAAGGAGTTGTTGAAAAGTACTCTGCCAACTCATTCAAGTTACTTCTGACATCCTGCCTTCTTTGACCTTTTTGAACTATACTGATCTCTTTGGGTGGATAAAATTTCCTTTTCTGTCATGTTTAGTCAAACCATTTCCATCACTTTCTTCAGTCTCTCTTTTTTTCCTTTCTTCTTCTGTCAAATAGGAGACATGGTTGTATTAAATTTTGCAGTCATAGTATGGATGCTGTAAAATGTTACACATCATGTTAAAATGTTACCACATCGTGTTCTCTGTCCTCTACTGCATAATCCAGCACTAGAACTGTGAGAGTCCTTGTCTTTCCCCAGTTCTTTTCTACTCTTCTGGGTTTTTCTTTCTTCTTCAGTGTGCCTTGTGTGTTAAATAGGATAATTATCTTATTACTGGTGCTTGAGCTTTATATCCCACTAGTGTGTGTGGTACATCCCCCTAGTGCTCAGATTTTATCTGCAGGGAATGGCAGACAGACACAGAACAGCTCTGTATATGCCCAGGCTGCTTCCTTCCAGGATGTTCTGAGGCTGTTTGGTTTCATTACTCTGCATCTGTGGCCTTGACCCTGGGATGTCCTTTCCTCAGAGCAGGGGTGACCTGGGGCCAGAGAGGCCCTGGTGTCCATAGCATGTGCTGTCCCAGCTATGGGGTGCCTGGGGGTGAGCGTAGCCTTAAATACATCTAGGAAGACTGTCTCCCTAAGGCTGCCAAATGACACTCGACAATCAAATGCTTTAGTATTGAAGCAGTATACACATATTGGTGAGAAAAGTCTTACTTTTTTTCTGAGGTCTACATATAAATCTGTGAGGCACTGCTCTTCCCCTGTACTCTGCAGTAAAGTTCCAGTTTAGTTGTACATAACAACTTCTTTATAATCCTATTCTGTAATGATAAAATGTTGCTGTTTGACCCAGGTGTTCCAAAATGTGGCCAGGGTGTCTCTTCCTGTTTAATGTAGTCTGACTATGTTATTATCAAAACAATACCTAGTCTAATAAATTCCAAGATAGTTTAGCTTGGCACCAAAAACAAGGCAATGGAACAAAGTTCAGAATGTGTTCTGTATTTAATACTTGAACTCTAAACACACTTGTGTGTTAAACAAATTTGATTTTCAGCTCAGTCACAGGTACTTGCTGCTGCATTTAGATCCACACCTGGGAGGAAATACTCAGCCCCCTGGTAGTGGCTTTGCTTTTTTCTTCCATCTTTTACCAGCCTTTGTTGCCAGGAGGACTGTCTTGGATCTTGTTGCTGTCACTGTAGAAATCTTAGCAGTGTCTTCCATATGTATGTCCCAGGATAATGTGAGAGGTGAAGGGCTGAAGCTCTGTGCTAGACTCTGGTATGAGAAGAGGAAAGTTTCTCCCAAGTGCTGTCAGATAGGTTTCCATCAGAGGTGGCCTGGTCATTTCTCATTTGGAATTCTCCCTGGAAATGTAGACCACGAGAGCCTTCCCTTAAGCCCAGTGCCATACAGAGTTGACTGAAATTGTACCTGCATAATAAAAGTGAATTTGTTGTTTAATGGAGCTGATATGTACAATTGTTAACTCAAGTGATGCTGTCCATGCTCTTCTGTACTTGCCCTTTTAAGAGTCCTGGCTGTGACTTTCAGTCATATCTTGTGAGTTGATACAAACATAGAAAATTTGTCTGGTTGTTGATACTGTTGCTTTTGAATGTGGTCTGACCTTATGTTTCAGCATATGGCTATGCACTTAACCTTTTGCAAGGACTTCACTGTGATTTTATAGAGAGCTCTCCCCTCATACTAGTGGAAAATGCAATGGATGGCTTGCAAACACATGCAAATCTGAACTTGGGGTATTATAAAGACATCCAAGTGTTTTCATGTTTTATTGTTTCATTTAAGCTGACTGCAGAGAGTCTGGTATCTGTCGAAGCACAAAAAGAGCAAACACTAAAAAAAAGTGATGCAATAATAGTGACTAATAAATGTTTCAAATAGAAAATGAAGAGCCTGGCTGTATCATGTGTCAGCACTAATGTTTATCTGTATCATCCCTCTAAGGATTTCAGAGTGCTTTTTAAGGAATGAATTAATTTTGACAATGCCCTGTGAGGTATGTATCCCTTTGATAGAAGGGAGTTGGAAGCACAAAAGTGTTTAAATTCTACAGGGTTATGCTACTAGGTATGTTTAATTACAAATTGGAGCAGTTGATTCAGTTTACTACCAGTTTGCTTAAATTGAACCAGAATCACAAATATAAGCCCCAGGTTTGTGAGTATGAGAAGAAATTACTTCTAACTTTATTTTTCAGGGGAAATGTTTACAAAGAAAACTGCAGCATAATTGACATAAGTTCTCCCTCACTGAGGCAAATAATCTGGATGATTGTATCTTAATTTGCAGTCTTCCTGATTTTTTTTTTTCCTCTTCTTTTGCCTGTAATGAATGTTTAATCATCTGTTATGGATAATTTCTAACACTTCAGAGAAAAGGAGTTAAAAATTGTAAACTAGTGTAGTCCGGAACTGATTGTGAATTATGACCTTTGCACATGACTGGCTAAGCAACTGAAGCATAAAATTCATCCAAGATTGTTGTCTTAGTCCCTGATACATGCTTGAGATTATTATAAAAATCTAGATATCTTCCACATGGATCAGGAAGGAATAAAAGAAGTTTGATAATGGCAAAATACCACCATGTAGTATGTGTCCTTAGCACCTTTTCAGATACAGAATTTCTCCTGGAACTGGAATTGTAGCCTGTTTTAAGTAAAATAATGTCATCTCTCTAGATGATCCCCAAATCAGGATTGGTAGCCATGCTCTAGGTTTGTGTGGATGAGTGTAATGTGTCTTTGCCTTGCTACAGAAAGTATCAGTTGCACAGCTTCAAATACAAATAGAAAATCCTGATTTAATTCACACTTGTTGAAGAATTGTTTATACTAATCATGCTTCCTTTCTGCTATGATCTCTGGCAAGAGAAGCTGTTTGGACTTGTGCCTCTTTTTTTTTGTGTTCAAAAAAGAAATGCTGATGAGAAAAAGGTGTTAAAATATGTTACTGTAGTTTACAACTGTCAACTATAATGTTTTATTTAACTATATCTACTCAGATGCTCCCTCCACAACATGGAGTGCCATATGCCATTGTCCCTGTTAGTAAGCAAGTCAGCAAAGGTTTCCCAGTCTGCATTTGTTTTTATATTTGGGCCACTGAGGAGCTGTGGTCCAGTGCCATCTTTTATTGATAGGGCCAGCAGAGGAGGAATCTAATGAAATTATCAAAGCTTTGAATTAATTATGAACTTGAATAAGAAAGCTAAGCTCTCTAGAGCCAAGGATCTCATTACCCATTCATTTTCATTGCATCCTCTTATGGAGCAGAAGGCAGGTTCAGCTACTGCTCCTGCCCTGATTTTGGACTTTATTCAAACTTGCTCAACTCACTAGCAGTCTCTTGTTATTAATCTGTAGCTGGAAGTGTCCAGGGTGATTAATTTGACTCTAAATCGGCACAGAAATGGTAGATTCCCCTCCTCTCTTTCCTCTTACCTTTGCTGTGTGGCTTTTCATCATCAGACTGGCTGCCATACAAGAGTTTCTGTTCTTTCTTGCTAACTGGGGAAAGCTATGCAAGACTCAAGTTTTAACTTCCTGGAATTTAATGAGTTCATATTAAGAAATAATACTGCTGCCTTGTATTTCCTGGATATTTAGGTAAGCACAAACACTTCTGAAGTCATTCTCAAAATTGTTTCTTTTCTTATTTTAAAAGACTATGGAGTGAAAAGTAATGACATTTTGGCCTCAGAAGTATGGGGTCATTATGGGTTGGTTTGTTGTTTTTTTGTTTTTGTTTTGGTTTTTTTTTGGTTGGGTTTTTGTTATTCCTGTTTTAAATTTGTTTGTCAAGCTACAGGAAATTCTATGTGTCAATACTTTATTACAATGAACTATTAAAGTAGTTTATTTGCCAGATTAAAATTTCATTAAAATTGTTAAAAGTGTATGAAAATGCAGTATTTTAGTTGAATCAGGTACTATTTATTTTAATTAATAGGTCATGATATTAAAATGTTCCTGGCAAATTAGAGCACGAGTAGTGAGACCAAGCTTCTGTGTATTATTCTTAGTTGTTGTGGATATTCCTCTGCAGTCTATCAGCCAGGATTTTTTTTCTTGTCCTGCTTTTGTCCTTTTCAGCACATTATTTATGAATGCATAAACCAGAATCCATCAGTCTTCATAAGTTATGTGCGACTGGCAATTTTTTAAGCAGTGGCTAACTGCCTAATGGTCTCTGTGTATGTGTGTATTTGGAGAATCTAATAGCTTGGTGGGTGGGGGAAGAACATTTTGTTCTTGCACTGTGGCTATTTTACCATTGGTGATATTTATTTTTTTTTCTCTCTCTAGGCAGCTGCTATATTTAATTCCGCTTTTGGAAGTTTTTTGGTAAGTAACACAGTATTTATAGCAAGTGATTTAATAGTCTCATTTTTAACAGTATTATTGGTGTTTTTGTATTTTTTTCACATTATTGTTGGTGGAATTTTGACATTCAGATGGCAAAAATTTGAATCGTCTTTCAGTTGATGTCGCCATGCCCTTAAATACGGATATTGCAATTTCTTTTCTTTTTGTTAAACTCTTGAGAAACGTAGTGAATAAATTTCCTCTGCTCGTGGTAAATTAATAATGTGTAAACACATCTTAATTTTCTTCTAAATGGGTTAACAGAATCTATTATTATGCAGATGTCTCAGACATGGGGCGTCAATATATTGATTTTTCTAATAAGGCCCATCAAATACTCATTATTTTCTATCAAGAGGCCATGGATTTTGAAAAGAAAACATGACCCAGCTGATCAGAGAGTAGATGCTAATTTACTCAGTGACTTGTCATTTGTTTAGCATATTTTACTGTCAGTGGAGCCACTCGATGTCTCTGAGGAGCAAACTAAAATAGCTAGATATAGGAAAGCAATCAATCCAGCTGGAAATATAATTTTCTTTAAAAAGCAAAAGCTGGATTTGTGGCCCTGATGGTCTACAAAGTATTAGAAAGGATGCTGCAAAGAACACTAAATATATTTATGAAGGAAGGAAGATTACTGATGTGTTGTTTAGAGAGATACTAATGAATATTAAATAAAAATTATTTTATGTGTTTGTAAACTACTGCAACTGATTGTTTATTTAGGCAGCTAATAATTGAATTTGTTCTTACGAAAATTTCTGCATGTTTAGAAGTATGTGTTTGTGATGCCAGTCTTGTGCCCCCTTTTTATACTGTGAAGTATAAAATTAATGAATGATAAAAGAATTCAAATTAGGAAATTGAAATCAAAACTGCGAGTACAATATAACTCTTTTTTTATTCATGGCTTTTTTTTTTTTAATGGGAAGCTGGCTTTTAGAAGCTTAAATATATGGAACTCTAGCAAGAGATAGTCACATGGCATTTTGCAGTTGTGTTGTCCTGCTGTATTTTTGAGGGACTAGGCTGAAGATAGGAGGGTGGATGTTAATAATTTGGGGTATCATTGACCTCTCACATATTTAAAATATCAGTTCCCAAGTACTTGTCCTTTTTGTTACCTGTAATGTTCTCCTTCCGTGGGTGTACCTCAAACTGTGGAAGTGTTGGAAAAACTCTTAAGTGTGTGTGTGATATTTTCTCTTGTTGCTTGGCACGAGCTCCTGGTTTCTCTGCTGTCTCCAGCTTTCAGTTCAAGAGGTTTCTGTGAATACCCAAAGGCTCAGCTCAGCTGCCATTTGGAGACATCTTTTGGCTTCAAGTAAAAATTAGGGCTCCGACTACAATGCTGGCATCTAGTGAATGAACTGAGATATATTCTCAAATACTAGTAGCTGTTTACAGCTCTTTAAAGAAATCTGAACTCAAGAAGCTGTTAGTTTTTGTCTTCATGTAATACTCCTAATTTTGGTTTTGGTCTTAGTTCATGATCATTGGAAAGTTCTGATTACATGTACTTACCTCATTTCACTTTTTGTTCCCCTCAGGTCTTTTTGCAAATGTTGGAACAGCATTGCAGTAAACATTATTCTTACAAAGTTTCCAGAAAAGACTTTTCAAAAATATTAAAGATCAGCTAGAATGAAACCATAGTGCCAGCTGATTTTTTTCTAACTACCGATCTTTTTAGAATAACGTGGTAAAGACACTGGTTACTATCAAATTATAAATATATCCACACATTTAAACACTTGTTGTGATAATTCTACTTTGATATCGTGACTACCTAGGCAATATGTGGGTATGACACAAAACAACTCACAAATATGTTTGAGTGCTTTGTTCTTACAAACTTTTCCAGTGATGAAGTTGATAGGATAAACCTTGTGATTGAAATGTGACAGTAGGCCAGGGACAGCAGTAAGTAGACGGAGTTGTTTACCAGTTGTTTCACAGTGGTGTGGGTCTACATGACCTTAAATCAAGCAGCTCCAGATGTGGAGCACTGGCAAGTGTATGGTCACTTAGCAAAGGAGCTTGTTGTTGAAAAACTGGCAAAGCATTAAATGCATGTGTGTTTGTGTGTGTGTATATATACATATGTATGTGCTTGAAGTCAAAACTGATCTGTAAAATGTAAGAATAATTGGCTTGTTTCTGAGAAGATAATGGAAGGTCCTGGTGGAAATGGTTTTGGGAATTCATCAGTTTGTATTGGTGCTTAGCTTAGGTTCTTCACCCATAGCCGAATCCATATGTCCTGTATCTTCAATTCATGATGAATCTAAATCACATTTGCATTTTTCTTAGGAGTGTCTAATGATGAACTGTAGGTGGACAGTCTTAGATGGAGTTATAGACTTTGTGACCAAAACTTGATACTTCCACGTGTCCTGGAGATTATTTGGAAGGCTCTGACCTCAGCAAGGCTGAAGTTTTTCTTATTTTCCTTGTCTTACCACGTGTAGCATGTGGGCACGTCATGGCACTTGTGACAAAGCCAGGACAGTGTTTTCTCTTTTCAGACTATGCCCTGTGGGCCAGTGCCTGTGTGTGATAGTGCCAAGCAGGCTGATTTAAAAGGGCTGAAAGATGTGCTGTGCTGATTACTCTCCTGCTCCCACCACCTTTCCCCCCCCCCCCTTAAGACTAGGAAGTAGTGCTTGAGAAGTTAAATTAAGGTAAGTTGTGGAACAAAATGTCTGTAGGAAAATACTCAGTGTAATGTTAGAATGATACTGAGATCAGCTTATTCAGATGAAACAGAACATCTTGTGATACACAAAATGAAGAAATGCCAAATATGGCCTGGTGAGCAGAAATGCACTTAGATTAGGGACCTGGGGATGTTTTCACTGGTAAAGAGATTTACAAAAATTACCAGCCAACCATAAAACAATTCCTTTTTAACTCCACCAAAGCCCATATTCCTATAAATATATAGACAAAACAGTGCATGGAATGATACTGTACATATTTGCATTATTTTACTGACTTAGTTTAATAACGTCCCAGGTCTAATTAAAACACAGTGTTTGAAAAAACTAATTGTTACAGAAAAGTGTTTTTATGTAGCTAGATTAGTAATAACTAACGATAGATGAATTCAATTTACATAAATTTCAGCCAAGAGAATATTTAGACTCATACCACAGAGGATTGCTCTGAGTTGGGTAGTTAATATCATTATCTCCTCCCCCCGTTTAAGCAGTTAGGTTTACAATAATTGTGGAACATAAGAAGTGATTTCAGATTTGCCTCTTAATGGGGTTTTAATATAATCTGGTAGTGTTTTACTCATACAGATTGGTAGGTTATCACAAGGTTGCATGGACATGCTAAGACAGAAAGCACTGTGTTAGCTGCTTCCACTTGGAGGAGAGGATGCTTTTGCACCTAAAGGCTAAAGAAATTGCCTGGAATGTTGAGTGTAGATCTGCTGACATGCTTAATGTTGTGTGCATTGCTGTGCTCCCTAAGCATTTCTATTCTGCTTCTAAAACAAGAAGACCAAATACCTGTAAATGTCCAAATCACAGTGCAAGAGGCAGGAGACTGCCAAACACGCGGTGCTGCTGGTGGTTCCATGGCGTTTGCCCGAGTGGTTCAGCTCCTTTGACTTTGTCCACCTGTCACTGAGGCTGCTCCTGCACTGGAGACGTGCTTGGCTGAGAGCTGCACTCAGTTTGCAGTGACAAAGTAATGGCCTGTGCGTGGGAGATGGACTTCCAGAACACTGTGTCCTCACAAAATGCACTGCTAGGCTAGAGCAGTCTTGTCTAATCTTTGTACCTCTCATTAAATCTCCTTTCTGCTTCAGACTGTGGGCTGGGGATCCCATAAAAATATCCAGCCTGTGGTGTGAGTCAGTGCAGGCTGGTTCTTCTGTGCCTTGGGGTCACAGTTAGTGTGAAAGGAACAGCCATCAGCTCCACCTTAAGCAAAGAACTGTAACTGAGATCTGAAGGTCTGTGGTGACAGGAAATGAAGAGGAAAATAGAGGATTCCAGGGCTCTGCTCTGCTGGCCACTGGACTCCTGAGAAAGCAGCAAATTGGTTGAGGCTTCCTCCAGTGCTTGTCTTGGATTATCTTTCTTTCTCTGTTGAAACATAATAGATGAAATAAGACACATTACAGGTATCCATCATTCCATTAATCTCCTTTGTCCAAACTAAGTATGTGTGGGTTTGTTCTTTTATCTCACCATCTCAGAGGGGACAGAGCTGGTTCATGTCGTTCAAAAAGCTCAAATAATTTTTGAAGCAGCCACGTGGCTCATCAAATCAAGGCTAGTGTTTTTATTTATATTGTCTTCCAAATGCAAGCTAAAGCTAGCAGAGAATGAAGTTAGCTTCTCACATACACACAAAGCTTAGTTGGTTAATGAAAATGTATGGAATTCTTATCTAGTCTGCTTTAGCAGGCATAATGATTTACACAGCCTGACAGCACTAGTGCTGCAAGTAAATGCATTAGTCATAGTGTCCATTTTTCTTGCAAATTTGTGACACAGATTTAATTATGGGAATGACCAGCAACTTACAAATCTAATTTTGGTAGGCTGAGCCAACTTTTTTATTTTAATAACAATGGATTTTTTAGCAATGATTTCATTACTATTTAAAGAAATCCAACCATATGGAAATAACCAATTGGCTGAATTTATTTACTTTATTTTACCTTAATGGATGTTGAATGGTTTAGGTTTATTTGGGGCTTTTTTTATTATCACTTTTTTCATCTTAGTTATTTCTAGGATAAATATCCTTATCTGTCTTAAGTATTTCTAGTACAAACATTATAAATATTTTTATAAAATCAAGCACATGTTTGTATACCCCTTTGTTCCCCTCTTAGTTGTATCTTTGCAGTATGAAAAGGGGCAGAGCAGTCATCTGGGATTCCCTTTTTACTGTGCTAGCTGTTTACAGGGAAATCTTGCCAGGAAGTCTGTTCACAACAGGTGCTGAATTCTAGATTCAGTCTTGTTTAATTTCAAAGTGGAGCTGCATTATGGTGAGCCCCTGCACTCTGGAAGTGGTCTCCTCTTGCTCTGTGAGCAGTGCAGAGGTGCTGCTGGTCTGTGCTCCGAATTGGATCGGGGCAGTTCTCCAAGTCCTGAGCAAGTTCTCCCTCTCAATGAGCCGCTGGAGAAGGCACCTTATCCTTGAAGGATTAGTTTTGCATGAGTGGAAGGGGGTGGCAGATCTCGGCAGCAGTGAGTGTTTGGGCCCGATAGTATGAACCAGGCAGGAAAAGTTTGTATTCCATGGAGTTGAAATAATCTTGGGAGCCACTTTTGTTGCCTTGCTGTAACTTATTTCATGGTTGGTGCTCAGATCTCTTCTTGTTAACATCCTCGTTTTGATTTCTGCTGGCTGAAGCTGAAATCTCAACATAAGCTTGGGCATCATTGGCTGTTTCCCAGTTTGCCAAGTAACTTTTCAAAGCATGTAGGCATTCAACTCTCACTGTGTACCTAAACTTCCATTGTATAGCCTGCTTAGCTGAATACCTAAATTTGAGTGTTTGTACTATTTTGGTACAAGCAAAGCAGAATAACAAAGCTCCCTGTAAAAGACACCCTTTAGTATGGGCTTAAAAAAGAGCCTTGACATACATGATTGTTTTGAGGGATTGCTGGGCATGTGCACCCATCCCAGTGTTCCTTTACTGATCACCTCTCTCCCTCCCAAAGCCAAACTGATCAAATGGGTGTTAGAATGAGATGCAGAATTTTTTACAAAATAAAATAATAATTAAAAAAATCTACCTGTCCATGACTAATGCTGAACTACTTTAAATTAAAACAACAACAACAACAAAAAGGTAAGTATAAGACTGTGATACTCAAAAAGAAGTAAATAGGATCTTGCTCCCAAGGGATAACTGGAAATGTGAGTGTTGTAACACCCACTGTGTGGTCTCACTGATGACACAGCTGGTCTGAAAAGGCAGTCAGTCAGTAGGGATTTGCAGAGCCAGCCAGCACAAATAACAACGCTGCTGGTGGTTATCTTTGAAATTTTACAGAGGAGGAGGGTAGGTAACAGTAACCAAGAGGAAAGAAAATGTGCTGTCAAGTTCTCAAAAAAGAGTGTCCTCTAGAAGGCCACTGATTAGTCCCTGTATTTTTCTTACAGTGGCCAAGAGGAAAATGCCTTGAAATCTACCTAATAACAAAAAATGAAACCATTAGCTGTCAAATGTGTAGAAATTATGTGGGCTGTAGCTGGTCTCAGGGCTTTCTCATTTTTCCCATTAGCTTTTGCTACTGATCATTTAATTCATCTTGCTTGGTCTTATGGGACTCAAGCAATCAGTTCTGCCAAAAAAAGTTTGTTTAAAGATAGCGATAAGTAGGCCATTAAATACATCCCTTTGTATTATCTTTGAGGCCAAAAAATAAGTAACTGCTACCTTTCTAAATATATTTGGAAGTAAGATGCACTTCCAAGATAAATATATTTGAGTATTCTGCTTTTCCCATTTCCTCATATGACAGCAGACAGGTGGGATTTTTTTCTTGCACCTGCTTTTTTTTAGTCAGCAATCTCATCTAGTGCACTTGCTTGGCGTGGCACTTGGTGATGACTTCTGAGACAGGAGGTTGAATCCTGGCCCCATCATTGCTGTTTCCATGGATTAGCAGGCTTTTAGGAAAAGAGAGAGTTGAGGATATATGTGCCAGTAGCATTTCTTGAGTTAGTGAAACAAACATGAAAAGTGGATGTTGCTGGAGAAAATTCAGAAGCAGAACTCAGGGTTTTTGTTGCACTTGGGAAGGATAGTGTGAGAGTTGAAGCAGCTTCATTCTTCCAGTCCAATTGTCACTTAGGGAATTGCAAGGTAGAAGGGAGAGCAGTTTCTATAGCCAAGACTGCACACTCAAAGTACCTTAAATTTTGTGATCTGACATATTTCTTCTGATCACATAGCATGGGGAAACTGGAAATGAGTGCATCTGTGACTGTGGTGCAGTCATCTCTCTTGTTAATGGAGACTGAATACTGGAAATTTATAAGGAGCTAGATTCCATTTTAAATGGAAGATAATGAATTAGAGAATCAAGAGTGCCTGTCTTGGGTAACTATTATTTGGAGAACATCTAGAGAAGGAAATATATGTGTTTAATATTATATAATCAGGTGATTGATTGGATTAGTATGTAAATCAAATCTGTGCTGATACAGTTTTAGCTGTCATAATTAGCAAGATTTGTCATTGTCCTCTCTAGTGTGAAAATATCACATTTTTGGCAAAAGAATATACTTTTTTTGGGTAATTTTTTTTTCTGGTTTTGCTTACTATGGTTATGGGTCAGAACTTGAAAGGAAAAAAAACGCCAACCAGCCAAAATCCCCAATTAAAAAAAATTGTCCCAGGGTGGAAATTGTGTGCAGATCATAACATTGAAAGGTCCTGGGTTTAGTTTGTGATGTTTTCTTGTCTTCTGTATTAGAATGGTTTCCTGTTTTTTCACTCCAAAATAAAGAAAGTGTGAAATTAACAGAAAGAAATATCACTTGTTCTGTTATAAAGTAACATCAAGGTGTCTGACCTCTAGTTAAGTCACTGAACTTTGTGTCATGGAACAGCATCATATCACATAAAATTAGTTTTAAAAAAATGTTTGCATTGAAAAGCTGCTTTATTTGTTTCTGAAAACTACTTGGAGAAATATATATGTGCTTTTTTTAAAGAAGGTGAAAATGTACACTACAAAACTTTGAACAGTTTATTTGTAAAGCAAAAGATTTAAAATTCTTGCAAGAATTTAGTTGTGTCTGTGGGAAACAAATGTTTGAATTTATTGGTTCTTTATGTTAGGTAGATTGGAGTATCAAGGAGAAATTGAGAAGGGAGGCACTCTGAAAGACAATTTGGTTTTTATTTTGCCCTCTCTAGTATCTTTTAATACTAGAAGAAGCATTCCTCTGCATTCCTCTAGGGCTGTGGTTGTACACAAACATGTAGTCGTTTGGCCTGATTTAAGGGTAAATGTTCCCTGCAGACAGATTAGGAAATGCACAAAATATGTAATTTTCTCCCTCACTTTTAAAAAATTCATCAAAAGGAAATGAAAATGTTTTTAGAATCTACTGTTAATGTTCTCCCCCAAAGTTTCAGCTTCTGATTGAAATGGAGCAATGTTCTTTCCTCTGTGCTGCAGCTTTTAGTCACCTGCATAAGAAGTGTGTGGGGTGAGAGAAAGTGGAGAGAAATCATCCCTTCCCTGGGAATAGGGATATTTAAACCCCTGTTTTGTACTTGATTAGCACTTTGAACTGGTGCTGCTACAAGGAGCTGTGTATGTGTGCTGTAAAACACGAGCTGCTGTGCTGAGCAGTCACCTACACTAATCCATCAGGGAGCATGGAGCTCCTTTTCCTTCTCTGACCACCAAATATGGATTCAGTAGGAGGCAGGAGTTGAGCTCTAGCATGTAGTACAAACAGCAATACCAGTGCTGCATTGTTCTACACAAACCTTTTACCTTTAGTTGACTCTTTGTGGGAGGAAAAATATCCTAAACACATTAATTTATTAAGCTTTGTGATTTTTGGCCCAGAACAGGTTAAATCTCTGCCTGGATTTTTTTCCCTGTGGTTCTTCTCTATCTGACTGAGCAGTGCCTGTTCAAAACTCGGCAGTCCTCAGTCTCTAGGGGTGAAAACAAGACGGATGTCATTATTACTCTAAGTTGAGGGGCTGGAAATCATTCCCCTTGCTGTCAGGGTGACAAATACTGTCTTAGTGGAGGTGCCAGAGGTTAGGTCAAAAGCTCTCACAAAGTCTTTAGCTCAACTAGCAAGCCAAGGCATGGTTATAAAACTGGAGCTTCCTTTGGAAATTGTGTTTATTATTTATTGTTGGCTTTTTAAAAGTCAGTTTTGGGAAGCCATCATGACCCTTCAGTATGAGCCAGGAGTAGTTCATGAATTCTTTTTTTTTTTTTTAATAGCTGTACTTGTGTTGTTGTGGAGAGGCTCCCTTCATTATTATTTTGCCTTATCTTCTTTGTAGGTATCAAAACAATCTTCAGCTTTCATCCTTAATGACACATATTTGAAAAGATCAGTGATTGTGAAGGAGGGAGAGAACTGTTTTAGTTTATGGTCTGTCATTATTTGGCTTTGTTTAACACTGTTCTGTCAGTGGCATAGTTTTCATTTTAACTTCTTGTAAAAGCAAGAAATAAACATAAATGCCCATCAAAAAAAGGCACTCCAAAACACCAGCCCAGCAAAAATCCAAACCATCTTGGAGGTTATGAGGCTCAGGCATTTATCACCTTTTTGGCATGGTACAAAAGCAAATGCACTTCCCAGCATCTTGTTTCCTCCACCTTCATTCCAATTCTCCATCCACCTCCTCCTGATTACTTTCCTACAATGATAAGTAAATTGTTGTATTTGTTGTTTCAACTTCCTAAAAAGAGATTGCATGACAAAATTCCTTTTCTAAATTATTTTCTGATGGTACCTTCTTGGTCACTCCAGCATAACTTGTAGCAAGGATATTTCTGTGATGTCCTTTCCCTGAGAACTGGTGGAAGATCAGACTAGATGAACATCTGACTTTACCTTTGACAAACTCACTATGCTCTACAAGGGATGAAATGATTGAAAACTTGCCGTTTTTCACTTGTATCTAAATGAGGTGACCATGTCAGGTAGAAAATTTTGTACATTAATATACGAAGATAAGTTTTTCATATTATCTTTTGTCTTTCAACCAGTGTCCTGAAAGCTCAACATGGGACATTTTCCTTGGATATCTTTATTGGTATCGAGTGTTTAACTTGACTGAGACTGTGCATGACTGGGAAGAGCTTTTTGCCTGACACCAACCTGCTGCATGAAAGCTGCATGTGGTTTCACCCCTCTGTGTACTCTTTCCATATCACCTTGTGCTGTGGTAGCTACAGGTGCCAACACTGATGCCCACCTGATTGGAAAAGTCATTCTGGCTTCTTCCTCCTGGTGCATTTGAGGCAAGCTATGATAGTGTGAAAATGCACACCTTGCTGCATTGTGATCTACCTAACCAAATTTTGCTACTATATGGAAAGCAAATGTTAACTATTTGAAGGAGAACTGTATTACATAGAATTAGATAACATGAATAACGGGAAAGGGTTTTTGAAAAACTCAAACCTTTTAATAAAATGGAGTGTCAAATATATGGGCATGTCTTTCAAGCAGTGATCAAAAAACATGTGAAAAGTTTCATATCCTTTTAAAAGTCAAATAATTATCCACTATGATAAATTTTTTTTGTTGGATGGACAGTACAAAGATGAAAGAAAATTTTATAGATAACATTACACTTCACAGCTGACTGAAGCAGGTGTTAGAAATGCAGATTAAGTATACTGACTAAAGACTATATAAATTTGAAGTGAAAATGCCACTGGTCTACTTGCAGTGCCCTGCACATGTGAAGTTTCAGGTAGTTAAATTATTAATTTTATTGTGTGAAATAGTGTAGCAGTTAGGGAGAGGGTCCTTGTGCATTTATGATTTAATTTTTCCCCTGTAGTCTTTTTAATATTGTGTGATGAGCAGCTGACAGAATTTGCTTCCTTGTGTGAATTTTGCTTAGAAAGAGGATACATAATGCAGGTAGGTCAATCCACAGTGTTGGTTTATTTGCTAATTAGGTGTTTTACAGGAACATGCAGTGCAAATACGTAATTGTGGGTAAATGCAATTTCTGTAAAGGAAGGAGACTAAATGTTAGTGTTCCTCTACAAATCTGCAGACACTGGGAAATCTGAATCTGGTCCTTCCACACAAAGTGGCATAAG